CCAAGAGTTATGGCAATCGGATAAATCAAATGAAGAGTGGGATAGCAGTAGAACCAGACAACAAACAAGATAAAGCAATAAAATTAGGTATAAAAGTAACTGCAAAGATGCCTCACATTCTCTACAAAGGGAGTTTTGAGGAACAGAAAGTGCCAGCAGATTAAAAAGTGGGATAAATCAACAGGATATCAAAGCAATATTTTAGTAAGTGTGAGAACTATAGAGACGTCACACCACTGTCGGTACCCACAAAAGTTCTCATCAGAGTAAAGTTGAACCGCATGGAAGATTCAGTAGACACTCAACTTTGAGACCAACAGGTAGGATTCCTTAAGGATCGGTCGCGAACAGACCGAATCGCGAAATTACTGGTCGTCGTTGAAAGGAACTGACTACCTGATATCATCTTCCTTGACTGTGAGAAAGGATTTGACAGAGTGGACAGAAGAACCTTATGTAACCTTCTTCGATACTATAGTGCACCTGAGAAGATCGTCAACATCATACGGAATTCTTACGACCAATTACATTGCGAAGTTTTTCATGGAGCACAGCTGACGGATGCATTCCAAGTAAGAAGCGGTTACAGACAACACTGCTTACTTTCACCTTTCCTCTTTCTTCTGGTGGTCGATTAGATTATGCAGACTTCAACATCTGAGGGGAAGCACGGAATATAACGGACAGCTTGGGTTCAACTAAACGATTTGGACTTTAAAGATGAACAGGCCCTTCTATCCCATACACACGAACAAATGCAGATGAAGACAACTAGTGTAGCATCAGTCTCTGCATCAGTAGGCCTCAAACAAAATACTGAGAACACCAGCTTAGTCACACTTGTTGGATGAACTCTGAAAAAAGTGCAAACTTTCACGTAGTTGAACAGGATCGTCGATGAGCGAGGAGGAACTGATGCAGACATAAAGGCAATGATTGGCAAAGCGAGGATAGCATTCCTACCATTGAGGAACATAATTAAGCCGTCTAGATCAGTGAACATAATAGAACTAATTAGACCACAATGTATTCATAAATTATGAATTCAGAAAATGAACAAATGATTTAAAGTCAATACCAGTTGACCAGTGTTCTCACTAGAATTCAGAACACTGTTTTAAAAAATAAGAACTATGAGTTAGATTAAGAGTCTGACAAGAAGTATTATTTTATCATTTAAAAAAAAATAAATATCAAGTGATCTAGAGATTAAGCGTTTGCAAGCGAGACCGATAGGTCCTGGGTTCGAATCCCGCGGGATGGGATCGTAGATGTGCACTGTTGAGAAATCCTACACTAGGATGAAACAAGCGTGCATTGATTCCAGATTCTCCACAATGATCTTGCTTCAATTGACTGATAATTTCAATTATTAAATATCAAGTGAATGAATTCTTATGATAGAGCATTGTAACTAATCCACTAATAACTATTCATACAGTTCTATTATATATGATCCTAAGTAAAAAAATAAAAACGAAGATCTCGTGGAATTTTCAATATAGCTAACTATATAAAATGAGAAATCATAAAGAAAAAATTACCTTTTAAAAAGTATTCATTAAATTCACATTTATTGATTTTATTTAACAGTTATATTTTAGGTTACGGGTAACGTAATACATCATATGTATAATAATAATTATACAATTATTCATTGTATATTGATTTTTGACGTTTTGTATAGACATTCACACATTATGAATTTATTGTATAACAACAGTGTAGGTTTTACTTATTTATTTATTTATTTTTTCTTTAGTGATAAATTAAGAAAAGAGTAAAGTCAGTAGTTGAAAAACGTTTTTAAATAAATAAGATGGAATGTTATTTGGTTAAATTCAGTGTATTTTTTCATTGAGAATAATTTAAATAAAACTTTAACATTAATGATGCATTGTCTCGCTCACTTATTTCTCGTCTGATATATTTTCTCAATGCTAGTTACCATTTTAACTGTGATGTAGGCATATATATAAACATATAAGCGACATTTGTGCGTGATTGTACTAGCTTTTGTGCGTTGATTGTACTAGCTTCGTACTTTTAGGGTTTTAATGCTGATACTGAAATTCCATAGAGGAATATAAAGTGTGCTATTTTGAGTTGCGGAAGTTTGGAACCACTTGTTCCTTCTATAGAAATCTATGATTACTGCGGACATTGATTGATCATGGGACACATATTTTGACATCAAAATTCCGTAAAGCCTACATTATAGCTTTTCCTTCGAGTTCGGTAGTTTGATAATTTTCATTATGTTGCCCCCGCCACGAATTTGGGTAGTTTTATAGAACCTTAATGATGAGTGTCCCAGACAATTAAGCACAAATGGGTCGTCACGAAAGACAATACAAACATCATATCAAGGTAAGATGTATCGTTAAATATATCTGAGAACACTTCATTCAAATGTTATCGTTAACTAAATGCATTAAAAAGCAATAAATAGCTTAACGAAATACATTACTGATATGATATATATTTACAGTTTACAGTGATGACGCTCTCAGAATCATAATCAAGTTAACACCGAGCTAGAGATCAGATAACTGTTGCTTCTTAAAGTTAATATCATGGTTTGATCTTTACTAAGTCTATGCAAGATCAGTTCGTGAAGTTAAACAATCACCACCAGCTCCAAATGTAATTATTACTTTATTTTGTTTAGTTCAGAACATTTTTAAGCGGAAAAAAGTTAATATTAAATCATATAAATCAATAATTATACATTATCACTCGGTTCATTTACACACTGTGGCTTTAAGTCAAATCACATTTTTCTAAATTACTAGCATTTCTCTTATGACTTTCCTCATTTCTGTAGATACACTTTAGCTATGGACACTGATCAGCTGATTATTCAGATGACTCTGTTTAAATGATAGTGATTAGTGCAAAGTGGTGGGGATTCCATGTTTTTTAGTAATTATGCCAACTCTAATACATTTTGAATAACTGTTATACATTCAAGTCATATGATACAATCTACTGTTATACCAACTGATTTCTATCCGTTTATTTATTATGCTAAGCTAATTTACTACAGTTGGTTAAATGTAGATAATTATTGGATATTGACAACCTAATAAAAACACTATTAGTATGCATGAAGGCAAAGTACGACACTATGAATGAGATTAAAGCTTTGCTCAGTGACTAAATATTTTTAAATGAAGCTAACTGGTTTGTTCGAAAAAATAAACTAAATATTAAGTTTTATATGGAAATTTCGCATAGTACATTAGTTGATCAAATTTTTTTATGGGTTCATTCTGTTCTAAATGGTTCAACATTCTGCTAAACAAAACGTGTCCATTTTACTTAGATTTATTAACCGACTATAGTTTTTTATCTTTATCTTGTCTTCCATTAAAGGTACAATAATAAAAACGGCAAAACAAACGGAAAAAGTTCACTTCATATTGTTATCAGTAATTTCCTTTTCTTTAAGTAATCTACAACAAATCTTTCGTTAACTGTTCATAATTCTGTGAATCCTAAAATATATGTTAATTATTGTGGAAGTACCTCCAGAGATTACTTTCATCACGTGAGAGATTATTTAAGTAATAAGTTACAGTCCTTACATTTCTATTGAAACAGTAAAATGGAGTAAACCAGATATGATTATCGAAATTTGAAGCCTTATGATAGAAGAAACTGTTAGCGTTTTAATAATAAAACAACGTAATAAACTGAAATATCTCATAAATGAACCTTAGTATTGTGGGTTATTTTCGAAATGCTTAGCAAGGAGTAAACTGATTGAAGTGGAAGTGACATACAAAACTGAATTTTTCTAATCGTCTGTAACATGTAATCACTTCTTAAAATGGAGTAACCATATGGCTTAATTATATCTGTTGATTATAGTCGTTTAATTTTATGACTGTAAATATCTTTTTACATAATAAATTATTAGTTCGTTGATGTTAAATGCTACTCAGTTCACTTTATACTAATCTCAATATAAATAAATTGTATGAAAATCTCAACATTCATACATCATCTTGATTTATTACTGATGTCAGACAAATCCTAATCTACCGTCTTCATGTTTATATTTGTGCTATTTGATTCACCGATTTTCTGTTGAAGTATTAAGATATCACGCATCTGAAACAGTATTTAAGCTATTTCAACTCCTGAAACGAGCATTTTAAACATTCTGCGGTTTCGAGCCAATAGTTGAATTTCCTACATTAAAAAAGGTTAAAACTAACTTGCGTTATTCATAAAAAATTTATAAAACTTGAAAATTACAAAGTGTATTCAAATAAATAAGGTACTGTTTCGATATAAACATCAAATAAATTGTGTTATAGACTTCCATAGTAAAACTTCACACTAAATAATCTGTATCAAGGTCGAATACTTCGATAATCGACAATGTTTAACTGACTATCGTGTGAATAAACATTAAAGTTACGGTAAAATACATATCCAAATAGGCAAACAATTTAATACTTTAGAAAATGCACTGGTTTTTCCACACCGTTAAGAAAATACAGAATTATACATATCTAAACGCATTAATATGCATTTTCATATGAGTATACACAATCGTAATGGTTTGTAGAAATAGTAGAACGTGAAATTACAGTGGGTGAAAAAACCCAGAAAATACAAAATAAAAATAAGAGCTAACTACTGAATATTTTAATAGTAGTATAGAAGATTTGCGAAAATTGTAGGATTTAACGAGGATTTCACACAATATTGTAATATACAGAAATGGGAAAATGAACTAGAAAAAATTTTTTGTGTACATAGAACGGACAGACACACATCGTTGTAACACCGAAATGAAAGGAAACATAAAAAAAGACGAATAAGCATCATAAATGCAGGTCCCTAAAGTTTATTCAAGATACAGAGTGTAGTCACAAAGGTATTTATTGGAATACTGAGGCGAATGGAACCAGGATATATTTAATTCAGAAGTTCTCCTTAGATTTCATTTTCATTTATTGTAATTACCTGTCCAGTATATATTCTTAACTTCGTGGAACAAAAGATGGACCAGGAGCACGTCGAAACAATGCCATTTGATCCACTATCGCCCGTCCAACACTGCGATCTGATGGATTCTTTTTACGCTTCATTAGTCGTCCAGCTGTATTACGACATATACACTGCAACAATAAACACTAAATTAATTCATTTCGTTCAAGGAAGTGAAAAAAAATGAAATTATTAGCTGTAAATAACTAGTTTGTTGTTGCTTTTTACAAAGAGCATTGAATAATAATTTATCAAACAATTACTAAGATTTAGATACTTATGAAAATACTGGTAAACATGTGTTATTCAGTCAACACTACAATCAATTAGTATGTTTATTTGTTTAAATCTACCAGATCAATTAATTTGCTTTTAAGTCAATCATAAGACTGGCGTGAGTATTATCAATTTATTGTCAGATGCAGCTAAGTGGACAAGTAAGATTTACCTGATTAATTTTGTACCTGTGAATTTTACTTCAATATCATATGATGAAAAGAGTGATGGAAAAGAATAGTAAATCACATTTTACATTTTTATAAGTATTAACGAAAATTAACTTAATGTCTACGGAAAACGATGAAGATTTATATAAACAATATAGTTTTATTTTGAAATATTTTGTTGCGTAGACGGTTAAAGTTATTGGGTGAATCTCTTTGAATTATGTTTTCGTATTTGTCAGCACCGTTGAGTAAAATTTTCCCTTAGCTAACAGGGAAAAGCGATAACATTCTTGTTGTTCCAATTCATAATGCTTGAAAGTTAATTTTCAGATTCTCAAAACGGGTTAGAAGCTAGAGCATTAACCTTTGCAGTGTAGACTTTAAACATCTGGTGAGATTTGGAGATTGTATCTTTTCCACACCATATATTTTTATGTTTACATGCAAATAAATCAAAGTCATTGACCTCGATCAAAATTTTTAATAACTGTATTGTGTAAATAGCTTTATCAATCAAATCTTTATAGTTGTTTATGGTTAGTCTATCGTCTATGAAAAGCGTTGTTCTAGAAATACAAACTATACAAGATATTCAGAAACTCTTGAAATTATGTTTGTATGCCAAATATTCATGACACTTAAAAGTTACTTAACGTTTGTCTTTAATGATACTAAAACAGAGCCTAGAACAAAGAACTCATGACACTGGTTTACAACAATTAGTGAAATTCAAATAATGTGTTACGTTTAATCTGGTAATTATCATTTTTGATTTTTTAAATCAACAAGCAACTTGCTTGTTCTTATCGAGAAAAATATCTAGCGAATGAAATTTTGGGAAATCGCCTTGTTTATCATTGATCTATTTTTAATCACTGAAATTGAAACATTAAATAACTTTATTCATTTCCATTAAGCAACTTCTCCACCTTGAATTATGGTAGTTTTGATAGCAATTAACGGTTATAAAATCAATTTCCGCCTTTACGGTCGAAAATAAAATGAAAACTGATGGAAAAATAAAGCTGTTCTTTGCGTGTCTTCGTTTCCGCATAACATAAAGAACAAAAAGTATAATGACATAAAAGATGTAAGATAATCACCACATGATCAGTGAATTCATTTGAGTAGATGGGATGAATGGTTAGTTATTTTATAAGAAATACGTTTAATTTAATACAGATTTTCTATAGTTCCAAAACAGTTTTGTGACAGGAAATTGATGTTAGCAGTAAAAAAAACCCTTGAAAACCAAGAAGGTTTGAATTATGCTTTCTTAATAGTTTGTAACTTCTTACAAATACTTACACAAAACAGCATACAATAGCAGTAGCATTCGATCTCTTTAGGCCAACAAATCTATTTACAACTTGACACAGACCTCAACCGATGCTGTCTGTGAGTTACTGAAAAAATCCAAACTTTAAGTTTACTTTATTTTTAAAATCAATATTTTATGAGTATCGGCACAGTCATCAGTAAAGTAAGGGTATGAAATGCTTTTGTTAAGTAGAATGTTATTTTCTTTGCTTAAGCAATCTTTCATGAGATATTAGTGGATCCCGTTGTTGAGTCAATTGACTTAGCTAGAAGTTGAAGTATATAGGGAAAATGGTAACAGAAGTCAGGGAAGAAAGTGTAGCAACAGTCCTAAACAATGTAAATCAATTGAACAATGATAATACAAGGCAACGAAAGACCTTAGTAGATTCGTCTTACAATATTCAGACGTCAACAACAAAATATTGATTTTGAAAAGGTGCATCATTTATTTATATTTCAAGCAAACTTAAAAGGAAGTTTTACTAATACTACATTCGAGTTAACAAAAGTAGGAATATTACATCGAACAATTCAATTTGAGATTCTTTGTAATTTATATATCTCAACAATAGTTTTCATGAAAGACGAATACTCCTCTAAACAAATGCTAAAATTATTGCATTTTAACTGATAAAATGTAAGTGATTGTTTCATACTCTTCAGCAGAAAATCTTTTATTTTTGAAGCATCTAAAAACATAGTTTGGATGTGAACATGTAAGCAAAATTAGTTAAACATCCTTTATGATTGATTACATAAACAAATTAGTTAATAGCAAAACATTTAATCAATTCACGTAATTTAACGAAAATCAATAAAAGCATCGGTGATAAAAAAGCAATTTGATTATACTTTTAAGCATATATTGATGGCATTTGGAAAACGATTGAAACCGGAGAGCATTAGGGAGCTTTGAGAACTCGTAATCCTATTGTGAGTGACATCTATATATGTGTCAATTTTTCATGAAAACTACCTTCGAATTAAATATATCCAGCAGAAAGCCGTTGAAAAATGTGTAGCTAATTTTATTCACTAGCAACAATGAGACAAAGACGGTTCATTGATTAAAACATTCAGTCCCAAAAGTGTAATGTAGCGACTAGATTGATCTATTCAGAAATGACCATGTGAACTTGAATTCATTTCTCAGTTAATGACCAAACAGTTTGCATAAATTAACATTAGTTCACAACAGTACCATTTAAATCTCTTACATATAGTGGTATTAGAAAGGTTATTGGCTTTGTAAAGTGAATTATAAGTTTGTCAATCTTCATATTGTTGTGATCTCTCCACATAACCACATTCATTCGAGTATGAATTTGCTGATACTAAATATTTCTTTTAAAATTCTTTCCATATTTATAAATAAATTTGTAGAGAATTAGTGATTATCTTTTAAATCTTTTTGCGAACAAATCCCCTTATGGAATTGGGACGACAAAGCTATAAGACAATATAGAGAAGTCTTTGATTATATTCGTTACTTGGTTTAGCATTTCTACTTCACTAACTCACCTGTTATTCACTGAATCATCAGTAAAATGATTTCTTTGTGAATCTTTCATAAAAAGTAATTTATTCACGTGTTATTTGAATTGAATGTTTAAAAGTGAGTACTTGATTAGTTTAATATTGACATTTTCACTGTACGATGACTTAAAGTTTTGAGCAACCTAAGTTTTGTACAAAGATATTTCTGTCACTTATTATATGATCAGAGATAAAAATCATTCATGTTTTAATTTTATGTTAAAACTGTAATGGTTCTGTCGATTCTGACCGATATGCTCTTAAAGAGTACTTTTTACTCAGTCAACATCCAAACATTGAACTTCAAACTCAAACATTCTCCACATACTTTGATCTGACCAATCTGTACAGTTTACAGGTGGCAATTCAAGTCTTTGCTCATTTACTGTGTTAGATGAAATCAGTCTTAATTATTGAATTTTGATTATGGAATATCGAAGACCTGTTTTCCGTTGCAGTAAATGAGAAAGTTACATACTTTAGGCTAAACCTTTCATCCATTGTATGATCTGACTTGAGCTCTTTGAGAAAACAAACAAATTTTTTATGGTAAGGGTGGTTTGAGTATGTGACATTACATGTTTAATGATTAAGTCAAGTCATACGGCTTTCTTTTGCATATATCATTTCATGTAGACTTGCAAAGGTGAATATTTCGGAATGAATAATCAAATGTCGTCTACTAATACTCCAGAAGATATACTAGACAATGTATTGTGAATAGAAGCGAGATTTATGACAATACAGTAACTAGGCATTTGATAGATAAAAAAAATATTAGGTAAAAATTTTTAACACAAAAAAGCTAACAAACAAAGAATATATGGTTAATTCCATTTTGTAAAATAGTCAATAATTAAAAGCTTTTAGCATGAATAATACAGACAGTAAGATTGAGGTATAAAAGTTTCATTATTCTTCTGACTTCATTTCACTATTTAAATATTTATGTTTTATGATCAGAATTCATGGAATGAATTCATGATTCGATGTAAGCTAGATCACCACTGAAGACCTGGATACACTGGAAGGCCGTTTCGTCCTAGTATGGGGCTCCTCAGCAGTGCGTGTTCACGAGGGATTCGAACTCAGGACCTTCGGTATTACGCGGGACCGGGATGTGCACTGCTGGAGAGTCCTATACTGGGACGAAACCGCCGTTCAGTGCTTCCAGGTCTTCAGTGGTGGTCTAGCTTACATTGACTCATGAGTTCAACTATTAAAAATATTTGTTTTTAATCATATTTTTGAATTGATGAACTAATATAATTAAATTATCCTCATATTTTACTATTTTTCAACCACTTTAATGATCTTACATTTTCACTTACCACTCGATTTTCGCAAGATCTGCAAATGTAACTCAAGGTTAAAACTAACACTACTTTGTGTTTTGAGATTTTTCCAAACAATTGATGAGATTTGTTATAATCGATTTTAAATTTTATAATTTGTTACTTATAGTTTTATTATCAGAATGGGTTTCGTGAAGATTTTTAGAAATTTCACAAGTTGAAATCATGAGCCAATTGAAGCTAGACTACAGTGCTTCCAGGTTTTCCATGGTGGTCTAGCTTCTATTGGCTCATGATTTCAACTTGTGAAACTTATAGTTTTCTCTGTTTTAAACTGTTGGACAACATGAATTGAAGTAGTTTGGTTAAACGTGCCATATGTCACCATCGTACATTCAATATTTATTCTAGGTAGTAAAAATCAATAAAATAATTCATAGTTTCTTCTCATTTCCAAATATGAGATATGGGATAGACCGTTTTCGTTCATTTGAACAGTGTAGTTAAGTGTTAACTATTCTTAAATCTGGATTGACAGATTCATAAATTCCCAGTGAATAGATGTTAAAAATCACAATAAGTTGTCACATAATGTAATCGCACATTTATATTCAAAATAAATATGATTAAATCCATTTAAAAAGTGAAGGATTGTGAGATCCTTATTTGATAGGTTGATCACAACTTGAAAAACTTCTAACTTATTTCGATACTTATATTTTGTTTATCATTTAAATTCCATCCATATCTTTCTTATCAGTGTTATAATAAACCTTATCCTGTACTTAAATTAAGGACTGCAAATTTGTAATAAAATGACTGATTTCTATGTTTTCTATTCGTGGTACTTTTTGCCACTGCAGAATACTCAAAGTTTACTGTCTATCTATTTTAAAAAGTCATAATCATCTACTGTAATTTGAATACAGAGGTGTCTTGAGTCAATTCTTATTTAATCAAGAATTTTGCTGAGAAATAAGCTGATACTTTATTAGTCAATTTGTTTAAACCAAAGAAAATAACTAGTTGTTAATATTTTTTATAAAAATCAGTATTTGTAATGCATGCATATTAGCTATGTGGAACTTTGTACGTATGTACATCAGTCCAAGTTTTCATATCCTATTAGCAGAGCGTTATTAAATTGTCAAAAGAAATTCCAGATTAGTAAAGGCAGTAACATCATTAGCAATAATAATAAAAGATTAGACATCAGAGATGCAATTCAGGGAAATATAAACTAGAGAAATAAGAGAATTTATGGGGAATTTAGAAATTTAGGATCTCAGGGGAGACAGGGAGTGAATACACTTTTATCACTGCAAATGATTTTGTGTCGTGTCACCCAACGTCTCTAACCACTAGTTACGATGATCATCTATACATTATTGATCAGGTTACAAACATATATATATATATATATATATATATATATATATATATATATATATATATAATTAGTATCGTCGCATATTCAAATAATCAAAATAAATAACTCACACAGTTTACCGATCCGCTTATAGTCTTGATTTAAAACAGTAGCTTAAAACATTTTAAGCTTCCATTATTATTTGATTCAGAATCTTCCTATATGGTTCAATAATATGTAATTATAAAATCTGTTGGTTTTCAACCGAGTTTAGTCTAGGTATTGTTGATATTAGTATAAAGTGAACAGCATAATGTTACATAATTATTTTTACTATATTAAATGAACGGTAATAATTTAAACTGCTCTATGGAAAATGTAGTTTGTACCTGATTGAATAATCCCTTGGATTCATAAGGTCTTATTGGATATATATTGTTGATATTTAGGTGTCAATTGAAAAATCTAACCTTTTTAATTCTATAAAAAAACACTTTGTTTTGGTCTCAAGTGATTTTGTAACCTTGTATACTTCTTCAGGTTTGAATTTTTAAGTTGGAGAAGAATTCATTTCATGAAAATTACAATTGTACTTTGTTGATAAGTGTCAACTACAAGATCGAGTGATTCTTTTCGATTAAATTGAATCATTTTATAGTAAGAATTGACTAAAATTACTTTATTTATTATATTTTAAATTTAATATTAATGTATAGTCACTTTTATAAAATAGTTGTAACCGACAGATTAGTACATACAATTCAACGTGATTATTAAATTTCATTCAATTATTTAATTAATTATGGAACTTAAAAATTATATTACATATTCTATATATAACTAAATTATATGAATTCACTTACCGATAATAATGTAAAAAAGCACATTGTAGAAAAATTCTCCTAGATGTGAAATTAAACTGCCTTGAAAATTTGTCGTCTATCAGATGAGGTAGTATTTTTTTTGTTTTTTTTTATTTGGAAAAAGAGTAACAAATCAAATAGTTTTATAAATAACCCAAATGATTATGAATAATATCCTGTACTATTTACAGACAGGAGAAGTTTATATTCGGCATTTATACATATGTTTATTCCTATGCATACCGTCATACATTTATATATATATATATATATATATATATATATATATATATATATATATATATATATATATATATATATATATATATAGGTGTACATATAGGTGTACATACACTTGTGTTTCTGTTTGATGTGTGCTCATCTTTTATTATACACGTGTCCACCTAAATACCCCAATACTAAACAAGGTCGACAATATGAATGTGTTAAATCATGGTTCTTTGAGTTGGTCTATGATAAAATCTACTTGTTTATTTTTTAAAATTTATTTGCACCAACTACGGTGTTTCTTAATTCTCATCAATATTGTTATTGTTGCAATGATTATCAGCCTTCATTATTATTATTATTATTATTAGTAGTAGTAGTACTATAATCGAAATGCATTAACATACTATTGGGTAAAAATTATTATTCAATCATTTACTCATAAATGAAGACATACTCTGTGTAGCCTGTCAATATAAAAGTTAGTTTTCTTTTTTAAATGACATCTATATTCTAGCTTATAAACAAATGTATTTTTAAGGATGTGTATAAGAGTGTGCTCATTTCTGTCTGTCTATCTATCAGTCAACTATATATATGTATAAGTGTAATACAAGCACATATACATACGGAAATTTATCAAAAAAAGAAAGAAAAACTGATTTCAACAATTAATCAACGGTATCATTTTAAGAGTGTTTGTTGTGAAGATTATTTATTGCAAAGTGTCATTTCAAAATGATTGTCTTCAGTTTCCCTCGATGAAACAGTATTACATACATAATAGATGTAATAATAAATGTTCGTTAACTGATATTAATGAATAGAATTGAATACTGAATTTTGTTTAATGTTAAGTGTACCTCTTTGTACTCTAGGTATTGCTGAATTTCGGTATTATTTTATTTATTTATTTGAACACATAAATTTTGGTACAAAGGGGAACCGATTTCATATACTCCACACAAGCCATTTGGTTTGTATGTGGGCTGTGATACTGCCTGGGTGACCACACCTGGAGCCTTCGATCTGAGGGTCTGATCCACAAGACAGCGGAGCAACGTCAGGAGACGCAGTTCCATGTTAGCTGGTGATTTTTGATTTGTTGAATAGATTTTGAAAACCTATTACAGGTAAATACCAAGAAAGAATAATGATGAACAGTTTGTCATTGGACTGTTGTTAATCGATAGAATTCGATCAGCGCTAAAGACTGGAGCAATGCTAAAGTAATCAGTCATTGTAAAATTACTGATTTTTATGGGTGAGCAGTAGCAGGAGGACTAGTTTAACGGGACATTTCCTAAGAAGATGGTAGACTGCATTTTCTGATGTCACCAGTTTATTATTAATGCTTTCATGATCTTTTTCGATAACATTATCATCAGCATAAACTTTGCAAGTAATATGGAACATCACTGATTGTGATATTGGATGGTAAGGTTTTGAACTGTGGTTGGATTATCAGTTCCCTCAACGGTGACAGTACGCATTACCGATCAGTGACAATTCGCAAAACATCTACGTTCAAGAATTCCTGGTCATTTTATCAACCTGCCTTACATTAAAACAATCATTTTTATCACTGGAAGGGTACGAATTTAATATAAAGAAATATTCTTTACATTGATTTGCTTAATAGTGTCAATATTTTTATGTCTTTTAGAACTCATGCCGTGATCAACATAGTGTGGTTATACTTTCCGCTTTTGATCTAATGTAGTTTGGATGACATAAGATGTTTAGATTAAAATAATTATTCATATTCATTGTCACACTATCTTATCTCATTATTCAGTTTAATATAAGGTCTTCTTCTATCAAGAACGTAGGTTCGAGACGGTTATCAGTTGTATGTCAGTTTTGTTTTCAATAATGAGGTATGCTATTGACACAATGTGTAATTGAGTTTGATGCTATATTTGTATCTTCATGGATCATATGTTATCAAAAGAAGCTACTCCTTAGTAAGTAAATAGTGTATACAATAGAGCTCTTCAAAGGGTTGCTTGTGATTACCATGATCTATCACATGATTTTTTTACTCTTTGTGTAAATAAAAATACTTTTCGCTCATGAATTATCTGTATTATGAATATTCCTTCAAACTAATAACAGTCATATAGAAGCATAAATATCCCTTCCAATTTATGTGGGAATACATTCAGTGTTAGCTAGACTAAGTGATGAGGTTTGCAAACTACTAATTGAAATACACTGATTCTATCAAACATTCATTTTAATTACAATTCAATCGGTAAACAAAAGTGTTTTACAGGGTTCTCGGAATATAGTATTGTTAACACGCACAAATATATTTCGATTAATGTACTGACCAATTTTAGGAATGGTAATTTGGTAAAGGAAGTTCTCTAAATGCAAACAAATTCAAGGTAATTAAAAATAGTCCAATACAGACTGATATAATAACACTACCAGCTCAAGATTTCTAGTCAAATGTCGTGGCAGAATCTTGTCATACCACTCTATAGGCTAATGCAAATGGTTAGCTTAATAGTCTCATGACTATATATCTTTATCTCAGCTGAAACAAATTGCTTTCTCAAGCCTTATTTTTTTCTTTGTTCACCTTCGGATAACAGCACAATCCTATTCTTCTATATCTTAGTTACTAATAGACCTCGGGTTTACATTACTAAGGAGCTTCAAAAACCAGTCTGAGGTTCAGATCTTTTTGCCGACTACTTTCAGTTATCTAACGTCAATATTTAAGTTATTTAAGTAATTGATATTCTATTAATTTTTTGTTAAATTCACGTATAGTTTAATATATTGTTTTGATTTATGCATATATATTCATGAGATAAAGATCAATTAGTCTGGTAATTAGAATCTAAAATGATAGCTATAAAATATATACTTTGGTTGATTCTCCTAAACATTCATCCTTTTTAAGATTTCTTCTATTCAAGTTCAAAACATTATTTTGCTCATTTAATGACATTCAAATAATTGCATACCATAGATATACACATCAACCTACCACAACAATAATAATCACAACATGTAACTATCTGTTATTTAGGTTAATGATACTTTATTACGTAAATAAATGCGTGTATTGATGATTCATCAACAATGAGAAATTTATTTGAAAAAAGAAAATATGTATCCGAGACTATACTATTGCAAACCTATAAATTTGTTTATTTACTAGGCAAGTTATAAATGATATGCATATTATTGTAATTCATATGAGTAGTTAGCTGTAACAAGTCAAGTAACATAGTATGGTATTTGTTTTCGCTTATTATATTTTTATCGTCTAACATTTTTCTTATTCCTGTCAGATGAATTTTTGTCATCAATTTTACATACTTTAGATTAGTATGCTTAGTGAGATCTCCCTATCCTATTTAAATTACTATTGATAATAATTAAGCTTAACTGAATTGTATTAAAATAGTTGAGATAATTCAGTTATTGATTTAATTGATAAACGACAGATTCTAGGTCAATTTGGAATAATAATGAAATAATTATGGTATTTGAGTAAAAGAAATCCATTCGTTTAAAGGTAATATCTGTGATTTTTGTAGTCGATAAACAATCGATAAAAAAGGGTGTATACTATATAGAATATGTAAGTTGTTAAATATGCGTTCACCAATCAAAGTGATCATTACCAAAGTGTATATATTGTAAGTTATGAACACAACTATGACTTCACCGTAAACTGTCATATAACCGTTTGCTTACTTGGATGTTGATGTGATACGTAAAATGTGTTTTCATATAATATCTTTGATGAAAGTGTAGTTCAGTGACGAAATTGATCGATTCACATATGATTCCATGATTTTGAATCCATTTCTCAGTTAATGACCAAATAGTCTGTATAAATTAACATTAGTTCACAACAGTACCATTTAAATCTCTTACATATAATGGTATTAGAAAGGTTATTGGTTTTGTAAAGTGAATTATAAGTTTGCCGATCTTCATATTGATGTGATCTTTCCACATAACCACATTCATTTGAGTATGAATTTGCTGATACTAAATATTTTTTTTAAAATTCTTTCCATATTTATAAATAAATTTGTAGAGAATTTATGAATAACTGTAAAGTCTTTAATAACAAGTTGGCTTGAGAATTCTTATGAATAAATCTGTGTTTTATATGTTCCATATAAGGTAAATTTCTTATTAAATAATGATTCATTCGGTATGCTTATTCATACTTACAACTCATTATATGATTACTACAAGTTTATAACTTAAGTGGAATAAAATTTAAACTCCTTATCATAATTATGAAATACACATGGGGGCATTCACTTATATTTATGTGGTTTTTTGTGTATTATTATTTAGATTACAATATTCATAATTTATTGTTCATCTTCAAATCATTGATCAATCTTATTTTCGTCAAATCACGTGTTGGAAACTAGAAAAGCAATGAATATGTGCAGACAAATACAATATGCCATTGTACACTTTGTAACTACCTATATTGTAAAATAAGAAAACATAAGAATCTTTTTATTTCTTGTAATTCATTGTCGTAACATTGAACAGATTCTAGGACGCTTCCTTAAGTCCTGATTTTTCTCGTCTTTTTCAATTTTAGTCAATGAGCAAAATACTTTGTTTAGACGTAAATAATTCCCAATAAACATTAATAACATGCATTACATAAATAATGCTCAATTATTTGCAAGTGGATAATAAATAAAGCATTTGGAAGGTTAAATTTCCCAGTTTACATGTTTTAGGAATATATATTTATTGTTTGGCCGATTGAGTGAAACTATAATTTATGGACGAAC